GTTTATAGTTGAATGCTAGAAAGTTTCATCAGATGTGGATGGACTCGTCATCAAAAGAACATACTAATGAAGATGCTATACTTGGTTATAAAGCAAGAATATATTTAAAAAAAGAATATTCAAGAAAAAAATTAAATAAATTTGTGTTAACATATCAAATTAATTGGCAGCTCAATAATTCAATTGAATTATATTGAAACTAATTGAAAAATAATGATCGAACGAAAATGCGTAATGTGATGAATTTTGATGAAGTGACAATTGAATTGCAATTTCGCAAAAAAGTGGTGGAGAAATTATGCGAAGCAAAATTAAATTAGGCAAATGGCAAAAGGTTTGCTAAGCAATGAACAACAGTTGAATGCATTCGCTAGAGGTATATTGAATTTGCCATGGCCTAGGCATTTCTATAGGAGATATAAGGTGAGACAAAAAATTGATCGGATCGCTTTAGTAGAATTTTTTCTGAGTCACTTTTATATAGAAATAAAGGATTTTTGCAAGAAGATTAGCTTCCATCAATGACAGAGTTAAGCCACGATACTGGTGATAATAATTTAGCAATAACCATACTCATTACAAGCGACATTTGATGGGGATGATTCGATTAAAATAAGAACTAAGTTGGGGCTAACTTGCAGTTGTACTAACATATATTTTCATATAAATTTCATATTTGTCAAATAAACTGAAAAAAATTTTGAATTGTAAGTGATAGAAAAATAAACAAAAGAACTTTATTTGTATCCTCACAGCGGAGCTAAGTAAACGAAATTAGATGCTAGGAAATTGCAAAGAATAGCATATCAGAAAGCTTTGCATAATGATTTTGCCATATTTCCTAAGTGATCCTTATTTGGCTTACTTTATTTGAGGATTCCCCGATTACTACTGGAATACTATATAATTTAATTTAATTTGTGCGTACACAATAGGCAACTTTCCAATTTATTTCATTTTATGTTCATTTATTTATTTATACAATAAAATTAAATTTTTTGCGATAAATCACTATGAGCCAGTGCGTAAATATTTCGCGATACATCTACTTCGAATGGTTCGTTCATACAATGCCATTTTCTATGCACTTCAATAAATAATTTATAAATTTTTTTTACGGCGATTTATTTCCAACATTTGTTCATATGTGGTTTGGTTTAATTAGTAATAAATTCATTCAATACATTTAAAGAAAGTCGGGAAAAGTGGATTTTGAAAGTTTAAAAATAAGTTAACAAAGAAGGAAAAGGAAAGCGCTTAAATCTAAAATTTAAGTTTACTTGGCAGTTCCATGAAATTTTTGAGAAATGCCCACGAAAAATAAAATCTTTTTCGTGAAAAAATTAAGCGACAATTTGGTCAAATAAATTTGTTTACATGGGCAATTTCAAGAAATTAAAATATGACTTTTATTGAGGCCAAGTATTATTCGTTCAATCATCTTTCTTATCTCTTGATGATTGATAATAATAAACTAAAAGGGTGTAGAAAATAATTTTTCAGTGCTAAAATATCACGAAAGAAATAAATTTATTAAAATAAATAAGGAAAAATTTAGACTTGGAGATAAGTGAAATCTATCTACGACATTAAACATCAAATATTTCATTTCATTAACCTATTAGGCAATAAATTTTGAGAAAATTAGGCAGCTTAATTATAATTATATCGTCAAATAATTTTTATTATATTACAATATCACAATATATAAAATCACAAAGATTAATTTAAAAAATTAGCTCCGCTTAAGTTTTTATAATTTATTAAACTACATATTATATATATATATAGAACCAATTATATATATATATATATAAACCAATGAATCACTAATCTAAATCACTGCATAAAACAAGCATCCAAATATATCTTTTCATTCGATGCCTCAACGCCTTCTGGTTAAAATGTAGCATCATATTTTCTTATGATTAATCTTTGCAGTGATTTAGACCAGTTTTTATAGCGAAACTTACAAGAGACATAGGGAGATTACCAGATTTGTGGTATTTTATTACAAAAAACTAAAAATTACTTTCATCACAGCAATTTCAACAACTGCAGTATGGTAGTTGTTTTTTATTTTCATGGAGCAAACATGAAGTGCAAGCATATATATATATATATATAAACATACATAAGATGCATATATTTTATTAAAAATTTGGCTTTTGTCTAAGTAACCAAAATGCACCTAAATGCATTTGTGCTTTCATTAACTTTTCAGTTCCCTTAATAGCCAATAAATATTTGAATAAAATTTTTCAAGTACTATGAAAAATCGGAAAAGAAAAGGCCAAGTTTCTAATAAAATCAATGAATTTTGGAGAAAGGCACAAATAATGAATAAATATATAAGTGCAAGCCTTCATGAATAAAGCAAAACCAATAAGAATTTTTTTATTGAAGAGTTTAGAGGTTAATAATTTTTTAGAAAATGCAACCTTCATTCAATCAGCATTGCCGAAGTATTCGAAATATAAATTTTTAATGCAATTTACTCAAAATATAAAAGCGATTTAGATTTTATCATTTCACAAAATATTCTAAAACTAGAGTGAGCAACTGAACTTACGATGCTTAACTCAAATCGAAGCAACATAAAATCATATTGACGATCATGTTTGGTAATAATTTATTGTTTAACAAAAAAATTTCTACTGGCCGATAATTCATGTTTCGTTTTTCGCAGCCAGAAGAAATGGGTTTACAAATGAAGAAAATAAATAAATTCGTTTTCAAGTAATCTCCAGAAGAATTAATATTTTTTCGAATTATTACGGTTCTTTATATACTTTTTATGCAAACCTATACTTTTTGCATCATAAGATTATAATAAATCATCTTATAAATATCAATCTTCGAACATATTCAATAAAGTTGAATGGCGATCTACTGCAGCTTTCATATTTCAGTTTAGTTCAGAAATGAAAAAAATCTAGACATTAACCACCATGTACCTAGTGATCCAAGTTCCTTTTCCTTTTCCGTATTGTTCAGCCATAATTTTAAGCACTGCACATTTCTGTTCCTCGAATAAAATATTCCGAATATGGAATTGAAACCATCTGAAATTATTTCATTTATTAACTATAGCTGAATTAATTAATTTTATAACCATCTGAACGTTAAACTTATTTTATTTATCATTTAATGAATATAAGAACATCTAGCTGATTCAACGAAATTTTCACTGATATGCATTTCCAGATAAATGTATATCAATTATACCTTATCGAGTAAAGTTGACCATTGACAGTTATATGAAGAGATTTTTTAAATGTTTTTTTCAATTCGGGTAATTTAATTTTCGAAGTGAGAAGTACCTAATGAATAATATTCCAGATTTTCGTGTTGATAGGCAATCCTTTGACTCGCTAACAAAAGTCCTAAGCATATGCCAGCAAGAACTAACTTCAACTAGCTTAGCCAGAAGTGGTGAGCAATATGCACTTATATAATTGAAGTTCTCTTTTTCTTTATTTGGTTCACTAAATATGCTTGCGAAATCACCACTTTTAGTGGTTAATGAAAGGAACGTTAAAGTAAAAATTATGATATTTCCAAAAAGATCAGTACCATCTTTTTTTTTCATCATTCAATTATTGCTGGAATTATTCACCATTATTAACAAGATTTCAGCAGTTTTTTCTCGAAAAATTGATAAACATCACTCTCTTTCCTCTGTGCTTGTGGGCCAGTATGGCCGATTCATGCCTGACATGAGGCAATTTGTTATTTAAAAATCCGGATAGCACTCGCCTTCTATTCCCAACTGAGCCTTCAGCTAGAATATCCTATTCGAATACCCATATATTTATCTCGCCCAAATAGCTAATAAGAAATGGTAAATTCTTAATCGGAAGCGGCAAATTCAAAAAAAATTGTTCCCAAACAAACTTCAAAAAAAATAAATTCATTGCATGAAATCTTTCACAATGAAGTGCTTTTTGCGTCAGAAGTTTTAAGTTTTAAGTTTTAAAGTCAAAATTTAAATTTTGCTTTAACTATCATAATTTAAATGAAATTTACTACAGTGCATTAAGTCTGAGCCTTGAATCCGAGCCTTGCACCATTGATATCAATTTCTTCTTTTCATTACTTTTATATCTTCAATTTCTACAGAAATATTTCATAACCGGTTTTATAATGGTTGACTTTTGATTATCACAATATGAATCTTCGTTTTATTAATTCAACAGATAAAACTGGTTGATGCTAAAATTGTAAAGAAAATGGCTGGGTAAACATCAACATTTTGTCGCCCATCGTTCCGCTCGACAAACCACTTGTTAGTTCTTAACTGTAAAATAACTGCTTGAATTTTGAAAGTAGAACAAAACTCACAAAATACAAGTATCATTGCTCTCTTAGTTTGGAAACATTCAAAGCATACTGAGAAATTCCCAGAAATTTCTGGGAAATAATAAGAATTCTGAATTGGAGCCTTCCTAAGCATCCTAATAGATTTCGATTCGAAAGCTATAATTTTGTCGATTCTTTCGACCTTTAAAATTTTTCCATCATTAATTGTAGTTTTTAGGCTTGCAGTGATCCACAAATCGATCCTCATTTATTCATAAAATCTTGTTTGAGAAGTTCCAATTGCAATAACATTTAGTGCAAATTGATGATCTTATATCCGAGAATTATGCACTGTTCTCTCTGCTAATGCTATTTCGAAGTTTAAAATTTCTAGTTTCGGCTTAAAAAACTGGTATTCCTATTTTGAAATTGGTCAAAACGATAGCGAAACTTCAGCTTTTCTTTTCCAGTCTAAATTGAATTTATTTTCAGTGCAAATTCCAGTTGCTATTCTTAATTTTCTTTTTATCAATCAAAAGAGATGAACAAAATTTATTACACAGTTTTCAATGTGTTTTTAATGTTTACCGTTTAATGCTATGATGATAATTATTTATGCACCGCCTCGTTCCACGAATATCACTATTTTCTCCTTAAATAGTCAGAAACCTATAGGTAATTTTGTAATTTCACTCAACATGGCGGTGTATCTGGCTGCTTATTCTGCTATCGGCATATCAATTTTCAGCTTCATGTTATGCGTATACTTTCTCAGTAACTTGACTTATAAAATTGGATTGATTAATAATGAACTTGAGCAGGAAATTGGCGAGTTCCGACATATGGAAATCCATATATGGTATATTTATGCCATTAAAAGTGGCCTTTTGTCCTATATATATTGCTATTTATTATGAATCATTTATTTAAATTCTTAGAAATTTCAAAAATCTGAAGATGTGGTAAAAGCTATTCGAATTGAGACTAGAATAGCAAGACTTTTTTAGGAGTGAATATCGAGGCAAGCAGTTCAGGCAATCAGCTGTAAAGGCGAGAGTAGCTCGACAAGCTCCAGGCCAATGCGTTTGTAATGTAAATAATAAATGCCCACCAGGTCCACCAGGACCTCCCGGCATTCCAGGATTAGAAGGCACACCAGGTAAAATTAAACTCATTTAAATAATCATAAATAATCATTTTAATAATCATTTTCTGAAAATTTCCACCATAATTATTAGAAATAAATACAAATACAATTTCGATGTGAATTAGGGTTTATTTGCCAGGCTTTCACTTTAATAGGCAGGTAGTTTAGGGATTTTAAGCAAAATCATGCTATGACAGGTTATGGCAAAAGTTTTAACACACAGTAAAATAATTTTATTAATGTTTGTTATTAATTTGGACCGTTGGTTTTTCTTTATTTTTTTCCCGCGTTTAAATATTTTATAGGTTGTTTTTTGTAGCTCAAATAGGTCTCAGTAGATAAACCTGAAGATAAAAAAATAATTAAATTCTATTTTTTGATTGCACTACTATTACCTTCGTTTTGCCAAAACAGTTCTGCTCCATTTAAAAATTTATCAATTAAACACTTGAGGTTTCAGATTATCTTTCGTAATTTTTTCTTGCTAATTCATGATCTAAAAAAGTTCATTACAGGTCTTCCCGGATTACCAGGATCTCCTGGCTTGCCTGGCAACTTCCCACCGATCAACTACAACCATGAAGGTAATTGTCGAGTGTGCCCAAGTGGTCCATCGGGACCTCCTGGACCAGTGGGAAGCCCAGGCAGTCCAGGGCAAAATGGCCCTCTAGGACCAGCTGGGCCTCGTGGACAAAACGGCAACATGGGACCACCAGGACCGCCAGGGATGTCAGGGGAAAGCGGGAAATCAGGGATTCCAGGGATGCCGGGTGCGGCAGGTTTACCAGGTTCACCAGGGGGAAAAGGTATGGCAGGACCAAAGGGTCCACCTGGTCCACCTGGCCCTCCTGGATCACAACCTCAAGTAGCAAATGCTGGTCGTCAAGGCAGCCCAGGGCGTCAAGGGCCGCCTGGCCAACCTGGCATGCAAGGGCCCGATGGAATGAAAGGAGCCACAGGGCCACCAGGCACTCCAGGTGCACCTGGAGAAGATGCAACATATTGTCCATGCCCAGGCAGAAGAGTGGCAGTCTCTCTTACAACATAAAAAATCCGAAGAAATTCCGAAACCTTTATCCGAGGTTGTAACATGCCACTCGAATCTTCATTTCCACAATCCATCATGATAATTAATATTTTTATGCGGCCAACGATAAAATGAAGTCAACCTGCTTTTCTGGTAAATTTCTGAATATTTCAATTTCTTTGCTGCTAAAAAATATTGATATCTTTAATTCTTCTTCTCTATTCTTATGTATGGTATCAGTAACTCGAATAAATAAGTATTAAATAAGTCATAATGAACAAAATCATATGAAATTTTTCAAAGCTTCCATCCACTGAATGGTTTCTATAGTTTTAACAAGTCATGATCCACTAATCGCATCAAAGCAAAATTCGATAAAATTTTTTAAAATGATAAATGACAAGAATTTATTTATAATATTTTGAATGAAACAAAAATATTTTGATAAACTAATTTGGGCTCAATTTAAGCTAGTAGGAGGCAATCTTTAAATAAATAGTTACAGCAAAATAAATTGATAATAAATACCCGCATGCATGTGATGTCCTATCCGCATGATGCTTTACCTTAAGCTTAAAGAAAAAAAAAACTTTTATTTCACCGAAAAATGCGGCTCATAAGGTAAAGCAACATCTAATCTATCCTTTTTGATTCGACTTAATGACTACTAGAAACGAGATCCCTTCGCTAGCCACTTGGTAGTAGATCATTTTTCATATTTAATAACATTTTTATTGCCACTAACGAGACGAATGCATAAAGATTAACTTTAATCGAAACCTTTGCTACTCGACCATTATTTAAACAGAATTTTTCAGTTAATGGAATTTAACATCAAACAAATTTATGCTGTCCGTTCAATATTTATTTATTTATAGAATCTTGCATTTTCGTATTCTTATTTCTTCCCACAAACTTATCCTTAAGCCACTAATAGTTAGCTTTTTCTGGCCTTTGTACTCTGAAATCATAAAATAGGTTTCAGTTTATCAAAGCCACTGGAATCCCCAAAAGACAATGTTGCCTTTCAAAAAATTCTGCCAATTCTGAATCATTTTAATTGATAGCAGATCAATAAAAGCATTAACTTGGACGACTATACAAAAAATAAACGAGTAAGTAAAGTAATATGCCATAGAAATTCATGGTCTATGAAACTTAAATATGCTTTTATTATTTTATATTAGTATTATGAAAAATAAATAGATATATGAACTTATATGAACTTAAGTATATAGAAACGTGGCAACAAATTCCAGGATAACATCAGAGACAGAGATCTCTGTCCAGAAGAGCGCAGTGTTAGAGCTAAGGTACTGAATCTTCAAAATCTTCGAGGTTGAGGATGACTTTCACCATACACATGGAAAAGAAAGGGGAAAAGAGAAAGGAGGGACTTTCGTCCAAATGTTCAATACGATATCAATGTTTGATGATTTTCGTAGATCAATGTTTGATGATTTTATTCAAGATTTTATTCGCATATACAAAAATATATTCTTATTCGTCAGCTATTCTTCTTACTATTTTCAACCTTATTTTTTTCCAGAAATTGCGAGAAAAACATATATATGAAAAAATATTTTGCAACATAAGTTTAAAGAAAATGAACAAAATTGTCTTTTAAATTGTTCCACTTAAGGTTACTTCGCAAAAATTTTTTTTTCTTTGGTACATTTCATTTCCATTTATTAGTTTTTACATTTTTTTATAGTTGCACAGGTTTTTCTTTAATTTTTTTCCAACTGATTGTAATTTCCTTCGTATTTTCGTTTCATGCAAATATATATGAAAACCGGAATGAAATGCTTTTATAATAGTTGAAAATTGCTTACATAAGTCAATGGCACATATTCGCGGCCGTCGCAAATTAAACAAATTAGACCTTTTTTTTACCATGAGAACAAGTTCTAAGTTTTGACAAATCAGTGAAACTGATGAAACTCTTTATAAAATCGGATGACATTGTTGGGTAATAAGTATCTGTTTTTTGCCATTTATTTTCACTGGGTCTACAGGTTATGAGAATGAAGCTCTTGCAAGGGAAACATTTAAAAGAAATGTAGCTTTATTCCCGGATTTCATGAACAGCTTTTCTTCAAACGATAGAAATGAAAATTATGATGGTTTGAAGCAGTACATCATTCCACAGTAATGACAATAAAACATGAAATATTGAAAACAATTTAGATTTCGCTATTACCATTAGTCGCTAAAGAATGTGCTTCGTTATTTAATAGTGATCGTATGAGCCATCGAAAATATGTAAAATTTACCGAAAATTCATAGCATTCATAGAGAAGTTAGAAATTTTCCTATCGAATTCAATTTTTTATGCATTTTGATTTTCCGCTATTTTATCAATATACTCAGAGTAATATCAGATTGAAAGTGCAGATTTTAATAAGTTTGCAGAAAAAGCGGAATATGATTTTTTGCCAGTTATTATGTGAAGCTACTTGTGGTCAATATTTATTAGATATTTTCCATTGATATAATTTTTTAAATATGTTGCTTACCATTTTTGATAAGGCTAGCTCTGAGGTCGATTCCCCGCAGGAGTAAATCTTCTCTGCATTTCTATCGTCAAGGGACTCCCTGACATATTGCCCAATGCGACAAGCCAGTGAAGCGAGTTTAACTAGTAATATAAATAATAACCGTGAAATAAATAATATAAATAATAATTAACTAGTAATGGTGAGTACTCTTAAAAAAAAGATCGTGATTTTTTAAATATATTGCTCATCATTTTTAGGTTGGCTCTACTGGCTGTTAGAATGGTCAAAAATTTTGGCTTCCCTGGAGTCATCTGGCAGTATAAATATGGTCTAGCATCCGAATTTTTCAATCACAGATTCATTCTTGACAACGGCAAAAACCAAATCCTCGCTTTTCAAAATCATAATCAAAACCATTGTTTCACTGGGCCAACCTGCATCTGATCAGATAAAGAATGCTTTAATAAATATACGAATTGTGTCATTCATTTGCCCTTTTTTTCTTTAAGGGTCCTCACCATTGCTGGTTAAACTCGCTCCACTGGCTTGTCACACTGGACAAATATGCCAGGTAATCCCTTGGCGATACAATTACCGGTGAGTCGCCAGTATCATCCGGATTTCTGGAAGTTTTACTCCTGTGGGGAATAGAACCTCAGCATCAGCTCTAAATTGAGCAACAACCCCCATTAAGTTTCCCCTCCCTCCCCACATATTTTCTCATATAAGAATGTTTATAAGATCTGAATAAAATATATACTTTGATTTAAATATTCAGTTTTTCTATATCAACATTATAAACTATTGTATTTGTCATGATTAGTAGTGAATAATCGAGTAAATCGTTTTAAGTTTTTGTAAATCATTTGGCGTAGAGTAATGATTCACATAAACCCTCCGGGTTCCATGAAACGATATGTGATATTTACTTTTTTTTCGAGTGCAAGAGCTGAGCGATGAGACAGTTTTGCTAAATTGTTTAAATTTTTTGTCCTAAAAATATATTTTCTGGCCCTCGTTTTTTATTGCCCTCGTAGCATATATTATTAATTGGTTTAATTAGCCAAGTTTTAAAATAAAATTTTGGTTGTGCAGCATCTCATACCTATTTTACAATATATTCAAAGAAGGAAACTAAAGTACCAAAATATATTCGCGTGGCAGGCGATAAATATTTCTCTAAATTTTTATGCAAATTATTCATTTACAATAAAACTGAACTGATACACTAATTAACAAGAATTTTAGTTAACGATTAATTAGTTAATTTTAGTTAAAAAAAAAATTTAATGGATGGCTAGTGATGAGTAAAGTGATGAATAATTTATTTATTCACACCACATAGAAAAACTGATAATTAAGTTCACCTAAATAATAATAATATATACATTTTATCTAATAAGTAATTTATTTTTTCATTTATATATATTATCTTTATGCTTAAAATAGAGTAAAAATTGTAGGCAGAAGTTTTAGCAAAGATCAGAAAATTTAAGCTTATCAAATCCACTGTGATTCAATGAACTGAATGTTTTTAATATCCATAAACTGAATTATTAAAACCTAGTACAAAATATTATTAATATTATTAAATACTGAAAAATTTTTATTACTTTTTAACAAAAACACAGAAAAAACAAAAAAATCCAACAAATCAATAGTTCCAAAATGATAAGCGATTTATTCGTTAGTGACAGGCCAATTAATTCTAAAGAAATTCAAAAAGCTTGTTGCGCCGATGTGACTTTCTTACGATCTTTCTTCGACATAAATAGCATTTCAATCTCTTCGATATTATATCCTTTCGTTTCTGGTACAAAAATATATGAAAATATGAAGGTGATACATGTTATACCTGCATAAATGAAGAAAGCACCTGGAAATAATAAAATATTTCTCTTTTCTTTTATAATTTAATTTTTATGAATGATTTAATAATTTTCAAAATATTGTAAATTAATAAATATGCATTAGTTGAACAGATAGTCTATTCGCATCCAGAAAAGTTAATAGAATAAAATAATGATTATAAAAAGCCGTATAATGGGGATAGAATGGCTCAGTGGATTAATGCTCAATTGGGAGCGCCGATGCTGATATTCGATTCCTCGCAGGAATAAACCAGTAAGTCTGGGTGATGCTGGCAACTCACCTGTATTTCTATCGTCAAGGGACACCCTGGCTTATCGCACAATGCGACAAGCCAGTGGAGCAAGCGACCAGTAATGGTGAGAACTCTTAAAAAAAAGGTTACAAACCGTATTTTGTAACAGCTTCAGTGAGAGTTAGAAATGTTAATGAAATAAAAAGATTGAATATCCAGTTTGTACAGGTAGATAGGGAGCAACACGTCCCTCTAGCCCAAGTTGGATAAAATTCTGCATTCAGTGCCCATGGTAAAGGCCCGAAGCCTATAAAAATTAAATTTCAAAATTTTCGAAATTTCAAGATTTTAAAATTAAAATTTCCACATTTTTTTCAATTTTTTAGATGAATTATGCAATTTTTAAAGTTTCCTCCAAAAAAATTGCCTCCTCTGAAAAATATAAAAATCTCATTTCTATATTTTTACATTTTTATAATTTATATTTCGAGTATTGTTAACCACCAATTTTATTTTTTCAAATAATGAATCAATTTAATTAATTCTGTTCTGTAAAATGAAAAAACAAATATATTGAACATCGTACCGATCGCAAAAAATACAAGGTATATAAGCATTACAATAATTGGTAAGATCGTATATTTTGTATGACAATAATTGTCAGCCCATTCATGATTCGAATCAATTAATTCAGCTGAACACGGTCCATAGGAAGCAAAATTGTTATCAACTTTGCTAAATGGCGCACAAATTCTGAACGATAAGTTTTCATCAAAAAGAGCAAGGAAATTAAACTATATGAACCTCCAATTGAAAAACCAACCCTGCTCCTGGTACTTCCTTGGGCTCGCAGAAACCACAGTGTTCATCAGTGACACAAAAATCGCAATTGCTATAAAAAAGGTAGAATGGAATAAAAGGAATTTACATTATTTGATATTTATAGTATTAATTTATATCAATATAAAAACCTGAATTTAAAATATTGACTACCGGACCTGTAAAGATTGCAACGTGCTGCACCATGACCCAACTCATTATTAAGAGCTGTTATATTATACGGCATGACTTTTGCAGATTCATTGTTGATGATAACAAATGCAGTACCCATTGAAATTAAGGAAACGATAATGCCTGCGACTGAAATCAGTAATAATACGCGCCTACCGATTCTTTCGATAGCATACAGTGGAACGAATGTTGCAAAGAAGTTTACAGCTGGAATAGATATTTCTTTTTGACTTATAATTTTCTAGCAAATGAAGACGAGTTTTATATTCCCCGAACAACAAGTTTAAGCAATAAATTGAATAATTATTAAAATAAAAGCTTTTTTCAATAAAATTTTGTGGAAAATTCACCTGAAATGCAGACAGAAATCCAGATAGTTGTCTGAATATCTCGAACACCAGAAGATCGAATAATTGTACCCGTATAATACCTAGAAATATAAGGTTATGGTTATTTTAATTAGGTATATTGGGTTCACTAGGGCTGGGCTTCTTAAAATTTTCTAAATTTTTTTTTTTAATTTTTTATTTAAAAATTTTTTTTTCTAAATCTAAAATTTTTTAAAATTTTCCCATTCATGATTATTTGAACTATTGGCGAGGTGAAATATAAAAAAATCCCTTCTCACTGCTTGTGGGTGATAGGTCACCTTCAACTTCGAGTCCTTTGCCAGGGGCCTGATATTGAGTTACAGATAAGTTTCCAGAGGGTCTCGTATGTAGAAAATGAGGACCAAAATACTTTAGATGGTAATAGGAATACCAAGGGCTGTAACCTTGAGACTAGAAAAATGATTTCAATAGATTCCAAGAACAACAGAACAAGAGAGATTTCTCTCCAGATCAGCGTATTGCAAGGAACAGCTAAGATACTGCGCAGAACGTCTAAATTTCCATGCTTCTGGTAGAAAAACCGAGGTTGAAGATGACCTTACCATCCACAAGGGATAAGAAAGCGATTTATATATAAGCTCTGAACCGGCTTAGTGTAGTGATTAAAGCGGGCTAATATGGAAAGCGAGAAGAAAAGTTGAAATCGAAACTAACCCATTATATTTCTGTTGAGGACCTTTGGGCAAAAGACTCTCTGAAAACCGGTGTCCTACAGTTATGTCGCCTAGGATATTGCCCAGATTAATAAGCTCCATATTATATCTAATAACAAATGTTAACTGCTGGAACTATGCCAGGTGTTATAGGACTATAAAAATAGTATGGCATTAAAAGAGTTACTAGAACAATACATAGATAAGGCAAGATAACCTGGAATTGATAAACCATTACTACAGCAATAGACCTAATAAAACGAATTATAGGAAATGTTTAAAGGAACTAATAAAAGACTTGCATCCACATTAATTGAGAAACAACAAGTCACTCAACAGTTCAACATAGAATAAAGGTAACTGCTGTCTTAACTGGGAATAGTAAAAATGCTACCAGAAATATACTGGAATATACGCAAAAGTCTTCGACAATTCTTACTGCCACAACTTCTGAAAATGTAGGGACGTAAAATCGAGAAGAATAGCAATGCCTCATGTCGCCCTGGAAAATGAGGCTGGAAAATAAGATCGCAGCATAACGCAAGGAAGTGGTTAGATGACAAAATTAAAGAATGATGTAAAGATTAAAAATAGGATCCGGATGCAAAAATTAAATTCCATTGGCCCTAGAAACTGCTAAATAAAGGCTTACAGCACCAGGCTAAGAAGATGTGCTTGGAAAGCAAAGGCCAAAAGGATGAAAGGATTCTCCAAAGGACCATTAAAGGACCAAGCTATACTTTCACGCAGGTGCATCTACAACTTAACGATTGTTCGGGGACCGATTCTCCTGACCTATGAAAAAAGACAATGCAGGACCTTTTTCTTTCTCTGCTGGTTTTAGATATACCTGATAGATATATTTATTCAAGCAATTCCATTAGCGGATAAGGTGTAGCAAAAATTTTTGTCGCAAGATGGAAAATCTGCTTTGAAATACTTAATCAAAAGATAATTCAACACGACTCTTTCCAAAGAACTCAGTTATTTGGATCTGTTCAATGCCGAACTATTGTTTCTCATTCTCAATCTAATCTTCTCGTTGAGCCAATTTAAGCTGAGTAAACGCTAATTTTGCGTGGGCAGAAATTCTTCCTTCTTGACAATCAGCATGCAATAATATTCAAACAATAATATTCTATAATTTGTGTGTGGAACTACATTATGGTTTTCAGGAGAAATTCTTCATTTTTCAACAACTAATGCAAATATTTCAGACTACATTCATCATTCATTCATCGCCTTAAAGAAGACATTGCAACCTAGAAAGTCGTTGAAATCTCTGTCGTCTTTCAAATCTAGAAATCAATTTAGGTCAAAAAATCCTGATAAGTTTGATACGCATATTATAAGGCAAACAATCGACTTTCCTTCAGTATTCTTCTCACATCTTTATACCATTTGCTACATACCACCGAAAAGTGTTTTAAAAGAGCCATTTCTACCTCAAAAAATACATTTTCTAGCTTCCGCTGCAAAAATACAATATTACAACTGAATATCTCAACTCAGTTATCGAGATGCAGATTTGTCTTTAACCAATTTCGATTCTACAAAGCAAGGCTAGTCCACGAATTGCTTCCAGCGTCCGTTTTGTAAACTTCGATCGAGATATATTCTGGATAAGAAATATAAAGTTTACTATTACGACTAGACCTGCAGAACTTTCTAAAATTTCTAAAATCTCTCTCGTAATCATGTGAATAATTGATAAGGACAGTTTATGTGTATAAATATAGATATGTGGGAGCAATTTATTATTTTTATTCATTGTTGCGATTCAAGGTGACTATTTCGTTTTATGCTGGTTTAATCCAGCTGTTCAATGTCACGTCATGCATTTGTGCCTTGCATACCCTAATTCAATTGGCTTTATAGACAAACTCAAATTTTCATTTAATTTGATGTTAGCTTGGTTAAAATGCAGAAAATGTTGCCGGTAGCATCGTTTTTCAATTATTGATTCATTTTTGTTGAGGGTAAGAGCCGAATCTTTCTCTTTCCATATAATAATCTATTTTACCTCTTATAATAACCCTTCTTACACATGATATTATATAGGTAAAGTAATAGGCATATACTTACATAATAGTATTAATTCCAGCTAGCTGTTGGAAAGCTTGAAGACTGCAACCAATTATTAAAGCCTTGCGGACATGTTTCGTTTTTAATATGCAAAGAAGTGTCGACGAATCTATAATGAAGAAAGAAAATTATTTATTTATATATATTTGTAAAATTTCTATTTACAATTATATTATTATTTCATATAGTATTAATTAAATAATTATATCTAATCGCTAATTTGTCATAGTAATTAAATTACCTCCAACAACTTTTTTCGATGTTTCTTCTTCCTCGCATGCTTCAGATATTGCTTGTAGTTCAAAATTTACCCATTCTATACTTTCCGCATAGATACGTTTTAATACCTGCCATTTTTGTTGGCAAAAAATTTAATTTATAAAATAATTTATTTTAATGAGATAGATTTGAGAATTTTGATTAACAATTATTTAATAGCCTTAAAATGCTCTACTTTTTCAGCATCAAGTTTTTTTCCATGACCATATAACCATCTTGGACTTTCCGGCAAAAAAAGGAAGCCGAAAAATTGAATGATGGCTGGAACAGCTGCAAAAGCAAACATCAAGCGCCATCCTATGTTTATTGGATCAATATATGAGAATAATCCTGAAAAGTGTAGATTGATTGCCTGTTAATGGTAATTTTTAAGTATCCCACCTTTATATTCCCCAAGTCATTATTCTCCAATTCTCGATGATAATTTCCTTGCATAATTTGATTTTATCTTCATGAAATTGCATATAATTGCAATATATTTCCAAAACCTGCAATGATGTTTGATGCCATCAATCCGAAAGTGATCATCAGTTGAAACGATGTAAGAAGAAGGCCTCGTATATGTGATGGAGCTATTTCACCAACGTAAATTGGTACTGTCATCGATGCGAATCCTGAAAAATTAGTGCATTATAAAGAATGCATAAATTTAATTACTTTTAGCTATTCAGACGATGCTTCTTTCTTAGCTTAATAATGCGTTTATCCTCCTGTTTAATATTTCGTAATTTTCTTGATTATGAAATCTGCTTATTTCTTCTTTTGATAAACCTGCCCAAAAACCAAAATCCAGGTGGCTGCTGGAGACCCACTTATACTTTCCCCATATAACTCAGTAGTGACCTCGTTATATTGGCTTCTTCCTATGTTCATGAAGTTCCTTACCTGATGGTGCATGCGACAAATATGCAAACCGAATTTCGTAAATTTGGGAATAATTCATTGGAAGTTTGGAAATTAATGCTCGAGCCAAGATAATTGCTTGAGATCTGATAATGAAGACGGCTCAGTGTAGACGCTATGAGATTCTGGTCCAGCAGTAGCAAACTTACTAGTATCAGACGATGACTTTCATACTTTGTTCAAATATCAACTGAACATCTCTTGCTTTCTCCCTTCCTTTTGTTTATACCTAGCTGGGAGCTAGGTGTATCATTATGGTGCTTCGATATTTAAAGGAAACATCTTGTTTAATCTTGAGCTTGATCCACTGTAATTGAGTGGAAGCCAGTTAATGGCCATATAGTCCATTTCAAAGAGAAGGGAAGTTTTACAGCATCTCGTTCATCAGAATGTATATGCTTTTTGTGCGAACGATCATGATAAAGATTTCGAAACTTCAGCTGCCAACACTTCTCACGAAAAATGGCATTGTTATAGTTGAGAGAGATTGGAATGCGCACATAAATCAAATGTTGCTACTGTAAACTTTACGAATATGGCATTGGGGTGCCGTGTGCGAATGGAAAATTTTTTTTAGCATATTAGACATCAGGAATTTTCATCTTCTTTCCGCTGAATATAGTTATGAGTCCTGGCCAAGCTAGATTCAGAGGCACGGATATGCTGGACCCACCGACATTATGTTTTGTTGACTTAAAATTATAGAAAATTAAAAATTTAAATATTGAAACAATTAGAAAAATAAGAAATGCAAGAGAGGCAGTTCAGAATGTTAGACACATTTTGAAAAATACTATTAAAAACTGTGAAAAGATGCTAGAAAAAATTTAAAAATATAATGAAAACTCTGAGAACGTTAGAGCGATTTTGAAAAATCAACTTGAAACGTTGAAACAATTAGAAAAAAAACAATGCTCTTACTTTCGACTCATTTCAAACTCAAAGAACTGCGCTTTAGAAGAAGATGGAATGCAGGTGTTGCAGATTCGACTCATAAAAGCATTTTGCCAGCATACATCGGCATTGGTACGTGTATATGGGCATTAATAGATCCTTTCGAAGTAAAAACTCGCTTTTCCAATTATAATATTCAACTATGCGACAGATTGTATTATGGATACCACTTGCAGACATTCAACAGACACGCACGTACAGAGTACGTATCAGATCTTGAATATGCAGTTTTTTTTGCTGAATTGTGAAGGAATGCAAGATATGCAAAATAACATATCGAAAACTGCAGCAATAATCGGACTCAGAATCAATATAAATTAAAAATCTTTGTTTTTATACCTATTTTTAACAATGTGTCACGAGTGGAGAAAATGGTCTTTGAATATATTGGATCCATTCTTGAAAGTAAAAATGCAGCTCAAATAACTAGAATTTTTTTTTTATCTGGCGAAATCTTTATAAAATCCCCACAAAATCACGATAAAAAAGAAAGCTCGCTTCTATCTGATTGTAGTGCATTTTGGTTGTAGAGCTGCATGGCCTATGAAAATGGAACAAATTAAGAAGCCGCTCACGTCTGATCGTTCACAAGGCACATCTTACATGCTCAAAGGATGGATAAAGTCTCAGCTATTTAATATTCTAAAAACTGTTCACAAGATTACCATAGAAATTCTTCGTTTTCCACTGCACGAATTGAAATATATCTCCTATATGCTAAACCCTGCGATAGATAGCGTCAAAAGCAAGGAGAACCAATTAAGATCAGAAAGATTTCGAATAGATTTCGAAAAGATTTCGATATATAGGCTTGAACGGTAAAAAAAGGAGTGTCTTCTTTTAAGGCATAGCATTGGATCGAGTGGTCTGCAAGCTCCTTACTGTTGAAACTACAGGAATCAGCTTAACCAGTAATGCTGCGAACTGTTGAGAAAGGTCCTTTTATTTTGATATTTTTGTTGGGAAATCATTGCTTTTATATAATTGCTAAGTCCAAAATAAATTGCAAATGACCTCGACCCGTAAAGAATAAAAAATTTGGTGGCGGCAGTATTCCAACCAGTTCTTTGCCAGATTGGCTTTATTTTTCAAATGTTTTCGTTCATTTGTTCATGAGCAAGAAAAATTGCATAAATTTTCAACTTTTCTTCACCTATAGCAATACCAAGTAACAACCGTCCAAACAGCAATGAGACTTTCTCGGGAGCCATTCCACATATTATTGCTCCAACTCCAAATACGATGCTAGATAAAATGATCATTTTTTTTCTTCCATATCGATCCGAAACTTGTCCAGCAAATAAGGCACCAATCGATGCAAAACCTATATTTAATAAAATTTAGAAGAACAAAACAAAGAAAATATGCTTGGAAATCGAACATAAAAAGCAAGTTACTCGTGTTATCAAAAAAGTTCAAATTACAAATTATAAGTATTTAAAAGCAAAACATAATACAAAATCTTTTTATACCTGGCGTAATACTAACAATGAGCTCCTTCCACAGTGAAGACATCGGCTTCATACCGTCATTCTGCGGCACATATAACATTGTACCAGACACTATACCAGTATCAAAGCCGAAAAGAAAGCCACCTATGACAGCCATAATAGAAAGATTTATAACATAATAACTCGTTTTTGGTTTCCTTTTTGGCATAGGCCTTCTCGAATCAAGATTTGCCACCTTAATTTCATTAAATTTGCAAAAATTGTTGTAAATATCATATCCTCTTTATAATTGGCTAGAATGATACCGAAAGCAATTATTTACTAACCAATTATTTTTTTGCAAAAGATTTATGATTCATATGGTAATTTTTCATACTTCGCTAGTTTGTCATGCATTTATCGCCGCAATTTTTATTTTACTTCTATAAGTAATATACGCCATTACGCAGCGGTGGGTTATGCTAATTTAAGAGAAAAAGATAACATACCACAGCAACTTGGACCATTTTCTATTCTTGAAAAAATATAATTGATATAAAAACGATGAGCAATAACCACAAATTCGTAAGTAAAATGAACTTAAATTAGAATTATTTCCTTTTATATATGAAAATTAAAAAAGGTAGTTTTGCGTCAAGTTTTTTTTATTCGAAAATGAATTTTTGATCATCAAATTTCAGACAGCATCAATGATTTCTTTTTTTTTGCGATTGCACGCGGTTTTCTCATTAACATTGCTTTCAGGAACTATGTGCATGTGTGGGAACCCTTCTTATTTTCGATGATTTTCGTGAGGAGTTTAATTATGATCATTCATTTCATATAGCATAGAAATAAATCCTTTAATCTGCGCTGATGATCCACCTATCGCCATGTGATTCCTGGCAAGAATTTATAATCGCATTAACAGCCGGCTAAGTTGCCAGATTTGGTATATGGAATATCAAATGATGAGAACTAGCCATATGATTTTATACCAGTTAGAATCTCTATTTTTGATTAGTTTAAAATGGAAAACCTAAAGGGTAGCAAAATCAAGAAATAATTTTAGATAAATATCTCATTTAGTGATAATTAAGCAAAATTATTATAGATAAACGTTCTCATTCTCGATGTGCCATCTTGCAAACTCAAAACCCGCCGGTTATAGATATGTCTTACATTTTCATAGCCAACAAATTCTATATTTTCATAAAAAATCTCGAAGCAATTTTCAATAAATATTATTGCTTGAGCAAGATGTCGGCATAATAAGGCAATCGATCTGGATCTTGTATTAATCGATAAATCAGAGAACAAAAACTTTTTTTGCCAAATTTCCCCAAATATTATCAGAAAACCTTAAGAAATCATATGATTCTTCATGAATTCTTTTTTCGAAAAAAAATGATTTTTACAAAATAGCGACCACATTTCCATCGAAAATAGCTCATGAAACATAATTCATGTGTCAATTTACGATTTTTTTTCCTTTCACCAAATTTCGACCCTTAATTAATTGAAACAATGCCACAAAGTGATCATAATTCGTTAAAATTTCACTAAATCTTTTTATTTATAATTGTTACTATTTTTATCAGTAATGTTATATTCAATCACTTTTAAACTATTGGATGTTTAAGTTTAAACAATTTTATGTTTTTATATATAATTTAATAATTTCCTAGAGAGCAAAAAATTCCTTTAAGGCTTAAATCCAAAGCGACTAGAGAAGAACGAAGATTTATTTGCTTAATACCAGGAATTAATAAGTGAAACTCATTAATCCGAAGAACTTATTCTGAAATACGACAATAATAACTATACTTTTCGCCATTATTAACATATTTTTCCACTTTACAATATTTCTGAAACCATTTATATACCATAGGTTTCCAAAAGTACTATTTTGTAATATATTGGTTTGCCAGGCAGCTATATAGCTCTCTCTCTCTCTCTTGGTACAAACAAACCTTTCAACATGAGTAATATATGGGCAATGTGCATATTTTTATCTCCAAATGAGTCTAACGAAATGGTATCCCACACTTATAATTAATGCAACCAGCCAAAATATAATAATAGAAATAATATTAAAAGTAATATTAGAAGGTAACAATGCTTCTATGACACGTTTCATATGATCAAATCTTACACTACCAAATCCTGTTACCAAACGTTGTACTGTGAAATTTTTTCTTTGAATTAAAATCTTTTTTTTTGTATAATACATAAATAAGTAAAATAAATAAATAAAATAAGTGGACTATCTTGGTTATGCTGGTGTTAGTGCTTTGGGAGGAGGGATTTTCGTATTCAAGTTTTTATAAATTTGATATGTTGGTGTGGTTTATTTTCTGGCCAACTGTGGCTTTTAGGAATTTTTATTAAGGAGTTCGCTTGGCGACAGGTGTGCCATCAGCAACACGTGGATTTGTTAATGGCAGTTTTGCTCCTGTAGAATTTAAATTCTTATCTCTTAACACAGTAAATTGAACTCATGAATGTTATCTTGCCTTGTCTCTTATCATATCTCATAATCTCTTATTTCATACCAATTGGTACCTGATATCAAAATTTTATAGCAAGTTTTATTAACCGCAATTTTATTTTTTTCATCTTATAACAAGTTTTTTAACAACTTCTTTCGATTTCATCGAATTTAAAATGAATGAATGTTGAGAAAATGCAGAATGCATTTTTTTGCGAAGTCTTTTTACAAATTTTTTAAGAAAAATTTTTCATCAAGTATTATAAGTGAAAAGCTCAACATTTCTGGTTGGGATCACTCTGCTGACTTGTTGAGCCGAACAAATTTTATCATGAAATCGCTTGTCAATGCAGAAGTTTCTGCGGAACCACTTGCTTTTTTTCAGGATTACTCTCGCCAGGAGTGGGCACTTGCGAAATACGAACCAAAATCCAATGAGCCATTTTGTTCGCTATTTTTTTCATGATAAAATGAAACAAACCTATCTTAAATATATACAGTTGGATCTTCTTTCGATTCATCATTCATCATTCATTCATTTTCTCAATAATCAAATTATTGAATTAAGCCTAATGAATTTTATTTGTAGCAAAGTAATAATTAATCTAAAAATATTAGAATTAATTTTTGAATTAGGGATTATGAGGTACGGCTTAAAGGGGAGAAAAGATTCTATAAGACAAATGCAGACGCATTTACTGCATTACATATTATTATTGGTGAATAGATTATTTAATGGAGGATGAGAAATTTTTTGTCAAATTATTTGAGAAAAGTCTGATGATGCTCGCCAATTTAGTTTTTAGAGTTCTTGAAGTTGAAGGTAGTTTTAGCGCTGGCAATTTTTTAATCATCAATTGAATAACTTTTTCAACACAACAAATTTTTGCAGTTGTTAAACTTCAACAGCAAAAAATTGTTCAACAGCCATAAATTTCATACTTTTAGTTAAAATTTCGTTATAGGTTGTCCAAATAGCTCGCCAATTAAAATATGGAAGATTCGATTCTAAGAATATGGTAGAAAAGCACAATGCAAAATATGCGTGGGAATTTCATATTGGAAGAGAGAATTTCGCGTCTCGAATTAAGGGAGGAAACCAATTTAAGGGCTGTCAAGTCGACGATATATTCTGCTTTCGCTCAATGTTCCAGTCTTGAACCTTGTAATCATGACAAATTGCACGTGAAAAACTTTTTGCAAATTTGCAAAAGTTGTGCAGTATAAAATCAACAAAAAGCAAAGTTGTAGACAACTTTTGTAAAATCGTCTACTGATTAAAAGGCTATTTTAGAAATAATAATTGGCCAGTAAGTGGTTAAAGCTTTCTAGTTAAATTAGATTTCTAGTTAAATTAGATGGTTGTCAGTACAACTAGAAATTTTTGCCAAGGAGTCTTTTAGCGACAGAAATATAAGTGAGCTGCCAAGCTTAGCCGATTTTTTTTTTTCAAGATTTTTCGAATTTTCCAAGTTTCCATCGGTTGAAATAGGATCCTTGTTTTTTCAACAGAGTGATATGATAATCTTGGTTTTTACTTACCAGGGTATCCTGATTCTAAGAAATAATAATAGACGTTTCGTCTTATCTTAGTATCGCAATCTTCAAACTTATGTCACATCAGTTTTCGTTATTTTTTTAAAATTTTTATCAACTAATCTATCGAAATTTTTATTTGCGATATAAGAAAAATCTAACCAACAAAAAAAGCAGAAGAATGCAACGAAACATGAAATACACGTTTTACACGAGATGAAATTTTTTATAGACAGTAAAAATTTTTAGCGGTTCACAAAAAAGTTTTAAATAATGTTGTGATACCGCGTGCAATTTTGGAACAAATATTTGCTTTACACAATAAATTTATGGGGAAAAAATAAAACCATATAGTGTTTTTAATAACGCAAAAGATATAGGTTTACTGTTCATGTGAAGTTTTCTATTGCAAAAAAGCTCACAACAATTAGAAAAATTGTCGTTCTGTTATAAAATTGCTCAGTTCAACTATTACAAGATGGAATTATTGCTAATGAATTAAAAATTGTTCTCATGCTGATACGAATCAATTGCAGTTTGTTTTTCATTATCGTTATGTAGGCTAAATTCTTTGGTTAAGTTTGTGTCCTGTGCTGTTATAACTGCTTTACGTTTTTTCTTCGACATAAACAATAATTCAATTTCTTCAATGTTGTATCCTTTTGTTTCTGGCACGAAGAAGAAGAAGAATACGAATGAGAAACATGTTATTCCCGCATATATGAAAAATGCACCTAAAAATAAACCATAAGGTGAATAAATTTTTGTGATTGGAAAAATTTTTGAAACTAAAATATTTAGTTTCAAAAATTTAGTTTCTAATATTTATTAATTAATGAAAACTTTGCAATGGAAAGAGAAATGATTGGAAATATTGCGCAAACCATATTTTGTTGCGTGTTCACTGAGAGTCAGGAATGTCAGTGAGATAACCAGGTTAAACACCCAATTTGTGAAAGTAGATAATGAGCAACATGTTCCTCTCGCCCAATTAGGGTAAAACTCGGCATTAAGTGCCCATGGTAGTGGTCCGAAGCCTAGAAATATTTGCTGATAAATAGTAGGATTTTCCTATTTTTGAGTTCAAAGTTTGCTTTCCATTTCAGTTTAAGCAAATTTTTGTATAAATTCAACGAAAAATTGTTATTAATATACCACATATCAATTACATAATCATTGACTAAGAATGATTCAAAAATATTCACTAAATAATCATACCGACTGAAAAAGATGCGAGATAAACAACCATCACAATAATCGGCAACACTGTATATTTAGTATGGCAGTAATTGTCGGCCCAATCATAGCTTGCGTCGATTGGGTCTCTTGAGCATGGTCCAAATGCAGATAAAGCCGAATCTGATTCATTGAAAGGCGCGCAAATGCTGAAATTTAATTTCATTCTAATCAATTCCATGCATTTTAAAAGCATGCAAAAAAATTAATAAGCTAACCCAGTTCTTGATATATTTTTAATTTCACAGAAACCACAATGTTCATCAGTGACGCAAAGATCGCAGTTTCTATAATAGAACGATAATTTATTTCATACTAAAAAGGGTCGTCATTGTAATAAATCGTATCATTAAAGTCATGGTACCTGTATGAGCTACATCGAACTGCTCTGTCACTCAAATGATCACTGAAGCTAGTTATATTATATGGTATAACCAAGGCCGATTCTTTGTTAATGAGAAGAAATGCAACACCCATTGCAATAAGTGCTAAGATAACACCAGCTACTGATAATAATAACAGAACTCGTCTACCAATTTTTTCAATAAGATAAAGCGGAATAAAGGTAGCAAAGAAATTCACAGCTGAAATTGAGCTAATAAGTGCAGTCGAGATGGCAAAAGTGATATTTATCAACAATGCTACTTAATAGTTTAGCCAGAAAGTTGGTACAAAAAAATGAGTTAACGAGACTGGTTACTGAAAACGCTACAAAAAATCACCTGAAATACCAACAGAAATCCAAATGGTAATCTGAATATCTCGCACACCAGATGATCTAATAATCGTTCCTGTATAATACCTAAAGATTAAATTTTATATATCTCTAGAAGAATTAGTTCTTAGCTAATTTCGCCAGTTTGTCATATGTCATATAAGTTGTTTTCATTTTTCATTTACTGAAAATCCTTACATTATGGTATTGATACCAGCAAACTGCTGAAGAGCCTGAAGAAGGCAGCCAATTATTAATGCTTTACGAACATGTGCCGTTCTCAATACGCGCGCAATTGTCAAGGAATCTGAAAAATAAGAAAATTGAAAAAATTCTTTTCTCTGTCTTTAATATATTTAATACAATATGGGGAGAGAAAATATCATCATATTAGCTAGACTTTCTGATAAAGTACTTTCGAACCTCCGATAATTTTTTTAGCCCGTTCTTCTTCTTCATGAGCTTCAGTAATTTCTTGAATTTCATATTCCACCCATTCTATATTATTTCCATATATATTGTTTAGGACCTAAAAATTCACTTAATGATAAATTCATCTCAGATTTTTTCCTCAAAAAAGCCTTTCCACACTTGCAAAAATCTCATTATTATCGTTTAATTTCTCTAACTACCTTATTACAAAATTTATGTAAATTTTCCTAGTGATTTTGAGAAATCAAATTAAAAATTGAAGATACTTTTTCAGCGTCGTATTTCATTTCATGACTATAAAGCCACCTTGGACTTTCCGGTAAAAAGAGAAAGCCAATGAATTGAATAACAGCTGGAATTGCTGCAAAACCAAACATTAACCTCCACCCAACTTTTACGGGGTCAATATACGAGAGTGCTCCTGAAAAGCAATAATTTCTATAATAATAGTGCACTATTATAATTTGCATATAAAAATTTTCTAGAATTGAAATTTTTTAAATATATTCTAGGTAAATTTTTAACAATTGTTTGAGAATATATAAGAACCTGCAATGATATTTGATGCCATTAAACCGAAAGTGATCATAAGTTGAAAAGATGTAAGAAAGAGGCCTCTTACGTGTGATGGAGCAACTTCACCAAGATAAATTGGCACTATCATTGATGCAAATCCTGCAATAAGGAAATGAGGAAATAATTTTTTGCCATTTTTCATATTTTCTACCAGATTTTCTTGATAATCATTGATAAAAAGCTTATGAGCAGTGAAATTCACTCACCTATGCCTATCCCAAGGAATAATCGCCCAATAAGTAAGGTGACTTTTTCCGGTGCTATTCCACATATCAAAGCACCTGCGACGAAAACCATGCTGGATAAGATAATCACCTTTTTTCTGCCGTATCGATCAGCTACTTGTCCGGCAAACAATGCACCAATTGATGCAAAACCTGAATTTAATTTTTCGAGATGCCTAAATAAATGCAGTATTCTCACAAATTCCAAAAGGTTTTTTCCTTTTCTTTTGCAAAATATTTCTCTTAAATTTTCATTTAAAGTTCATTTAAATTTGATTTTTCTTTAACTGTTGAAAGGCTAGAAACTCCAAATGATAACCCGCAAAAATTCGAGTTTTAAATATTATCGTTAAAAAAAGTAAAAAAGAAATTTATATGAAGAAAGTTAAATTAATTGATCCTATAGTAAAAATATGAGATTCTGCACCTGGAGTAATACTAATAATAAGTTCTTTCCATAATGAATTCATTGGTTTCATGCCAGTATTTTGAGATACATATAGCATTGTACTAGATACGATGCCAGTATCATATCCGAACAGAAAACCGCCTATCACAGCCATTACAGCGAGATTTATCACATAGCAGCCTATTTTAGGCTTCTCTTTAGGCATGATTTTTCCAGAGCCATTGCTGGTTACCTCCAATTTCACAATTTTTTAAAAAAATCATTTAATAAATCTTATAATTACGCACAAAATGCTTTAATGCTTTATCAAAAATGCTTTTTAAGTCTACATTTCCAAGTTTTCTTAAACTCAGAGCTATTTATTAAACTATCACTGTCTCTATTATTTTCTTTTCTGCATAATAACTTTTTTCTTAATTTTTTTAAAATAATTTTCCCAAATTTTTTTCCACATTTGCAATTTGCTATATATTTCATTAGTGGGTGGCGTAAATATACTGAATTACAGAATGACTTACCACAGCGACCTGAACCATATTTCAAAATTGAATAAAATGTTTCTGGTACTTCAGGTAGAAAAAGTAAAGAGAACGTAGAAAGAATCGAAATACTTATTAATACTTTCGAATGCTTCGAATGAATTTTATAATAAAATAAATACTTTTTCTGACAATTTATTTTACATCATTCACGCTTTGAATTTTTGTTTGTATTGTATAACGGAAGAATCTGCTAAAAAATTCTATAAACGTTATAGAAATAACTGACAATTGCTATTATTTATTTAGTAATCAAAAATTCGGGTCGGACTGAACTTTTTTTTCTTTTTCTTTTAGGACTTCTTTTTAAAAAAAATTCATCTTTGATCGTTAAGCATTTCACAAATATAGACATTTAACCATTTTATAACATTAAACCCACGTGGCCATCGATCGCTTTTTTAAATAAAGGCACATTCAATATTTTTTTTCGAAAATTATCATGGTTGATTAAAGACCTTATTAAAGTTGCTAATTTCATACAGCATCTTTTTAAACCCTTACATCAGATTCCTCTCTTTCCCAAAACTTTAGTAATAAGAATTGGTAAATTTTCAATGCCAGCTCATTTTTTTCATTTTTTCCAGCAAAAACATATCATTTTAAAGAAATTGTTTCGGCAGTTGACAAGAAAGACAAGAAAGTTGGCAGAAATGTTCGATTAATCTATGGAAACAGAGTATGCATAAACCATAGATGGATCTAATGGCAGTTTAATACGATTCGTAAATGCTAATGCTAATGCAATCAAGTGAACTTAATATAGGAATGCAAATCTTATGGGTTCCTATTAAAAATCACCTAGAAGACTAAGGAAAGATTAAATAAAACATGAAGAATTAGAAAAAAATTTGAGCAATTATTCGCAGACAACTGATGCTCATTAATAACTGCATGGTTCAATTTGTTTCTCCAATGTTCATTCTATTATGTTTTACTTAATTTGGCTGTTTCATATGAAAGATTATTGAAAACATTTCTTAAAAAAGACGAATTTAGTAATATAATCAGTCGACAAATATTTATATTTTATTTTAAGTCAAAATTCAATATCAAAATTTGTGATTTTTTCTGTAATTATGCAAGCATCATCACCGGCAAATCTCTAAATTTTTACTTTTTTTTGTTCTTATTATTTTTATTTCTACGAATTCTCGGCCAGTAGCACAGTAAAAAAGAATGGAGAGAAAACTGAAAATGGAAACGCAATTTTTTGTATAAAATTTGTTAATTAAAAATTGGGTGAGAGAAAAAATCAGATATATTTCGTTCTTGGCCTTAAATTATTTCTTTGCCATGCTTCAAAATACTGTTAATATAGTTTTTTTTAACCAAAAATCCGGTCAATTCGGAACGCAATCCGGAATTTGAACCGAATATTCGCGTGGATATTTCTTTAAAAAATTTCTAGGAGTGACTGGTACTTTGCAATGAGAAGTAGCTGGAAGAATTACGGTATTTAAAAAAAAGCCTCCATTTTAAAAAATATCAAAGAACTGCAAATGTAGCGGTTTATTATTATTAATAAATAAACAAAATCTTATTGGATTCCCAAAAAACTTGGAATATGTTTTATTTGATCATGTGTGCCATGACGTATACTAAAAAGTCACGAAAATAATCGAACAAAGACCGATCAGTTGTTACAAGCTCTAACCCATTCACGAAATATTTAACAAAAGCAAAATTATTGTAAATTATAGAATCTGATATTAAGATAATATAAGGTAAGTAAATAATGACGAAAAATAAGTTTGTCTGGCGATGAATAGGTAAAACAATAATTTTCGAGGAGAAAGTGAAAAGCTGAGAGTTTTTTTTAACTTTTTATTAAATTTTTATTTATTCTTTTATTTATTAAATACCCAGCAATGAAATTTTGTCTAATTTTAAATAAAGGCTTTTGAGAGGAATCCGGAAGACGACAAAAAATATTTCTGCTTCAGCCATTTCCGCTGGCTTTTAGCATGGCTGGGAATTTTTGCAAGAGAGCTGGTAGTAGAAGCAAAAATACGCTACCTTCACCAGGATTAATTTTTAAATAACAAATTCATTCATTTCGGAGATAGAGTCGGACCCTTCCATTTCAAAACAAGCCACTTTCTATTCATCTTTATTCATCTATGTTCTACCTTATGTGGAGTCCTGATCTTCTTTATCAGTTTAGACCATAGGGTCTAAATAAAAGCGGTAAACACCACCAGAGTGGTGGACAGTAGGAAAGAGCCGAATATTACTTTTTTAAAAATTTTTTTGTAACATCTTAGCGATCTTTTTTCATACTATAAATCACGTATTAATCAGCTTATATCTTTCTGTTTTTCTTTTTTGTATATTATATTTTTGTCTTCGACTGTATTAGACAAATTTATAGTATCTCACAATTTAAATGATATAAATGATATAATATGGCGTCCATGGATGATTATACGTCCTCTCTATTTTCTTTGCAACTTTCAAAGTATTGTATCTTTTAGTAAATGCGGGATCCGAGTGGTCGAATTTCGAATAATTTATGAAAAGTTTCGTTTTATTTCTTTAAATTTTTGGTTTTTTAAATTTTGCTGCCTATGGAACTTTAAAGTTAAAAGATTTTAGAATCCAAAATAAACCCCCAAAATAAACCGTTTTTCTGAATCATTGCAATAAAACTATTGAACTTTGAAAATTTTTTGTATGTGGAATTAAATGTGGATGTTTGGGGTGTTTTTAATAAGGTGAATTAATAATAATGGAACGTACATTTACTGGGTAATTTAACTAGAAACAAATCAACTTGTTGAATTGCGTAAATTCCTACTATAAACTACATAAATAAGTGTGTTGGTGGTATAAAATTGCTGAGTTACTCTTTAAGACAGTTTTTTAAAATGAATTTCGAGGGCCAAAGATGCAACGAAAAATATTGCGAATTGTGAAGATCAGGCAACTGAATAACTTAGTAGATAAATGCTTGTATATGAAAGCGTTAGAAATATTATTCCACTACGAAATGTGGAATTAATTTAAAAATCTGGATTGCTTAAGATTCAAGATGTATGAAATGGAGAAGAGAAAAGTGGAATGGAAAATGGGGATTTGGATTGGCGTTATTGTTCATTATTTCGGTGTTTTATTTTGCGATTTTTACATCGTTAATCGTATCGCCTATCGTCTGTGCATCGCCTTCCCTCTGCTCATCATCTCCAAGCAAAATTCCTCATTTTTAGCTCTTACTTTTCTGTTTACAATTCATGTCTAAGAGTAATCGACAAAATAGAATATATAAGGCAAAGACCAAATGTAATTTATTTATTCAATCGCCAGCAAATATGACCAAAGTGCCTAATTTGCAAAAGTGTTCATCAATGAAGCCGTTGAGACTAAATGGCCATTTGAAAAGATTCATAGAAACATTGAAAGACTCTCAAACCTTTACTTTGCTTTTCATAACGGCGTATGGTATGTTTTCAACTGTATCCAAAGAAGAAAAAAGTGATGGGTTATATGCCTCTTACAATATTGCATTTCTCTTCCTTACTTATCGCTAAATTGCAATTGATATAAAACTGATTTTTCCTTCTATAACTGAAGTAATGTATATTATTTTGCGGAAGTCGTTTTATGCACCATGTGATATCAAGAAAATTCTTTGAGAAAAAATACACTGCAGACATAAATCGACAAAATAACCGCGAACTGTTAATATTTTATTGTTACTTTATAAAAATTGACAACTCAATTTTTATTAAAAATTAATGAATCCACTTTGCTTTTAGCATAAAAGCATAGCATTTCAACTTATTCCAGTAATCCATCATACGAATAAAGAAACTACAGAAAGGTTAGAGTGATTTCAATTCATTATTTTAGTTGCATTAAAGGTCGCAATACCTGAAATCATGAATTTTTAGCTATTAGCCCATTTTGTGCGTTAAGTTTTCATTGAATCATTTTATGTGCCGTTTTGTAATGTGCCAGCGGATCTCTCATCAGAAATATATAAACCTAGTGGTCAACAGCATATAAATATATATTGGAGTTAGATAAAATACTCGCAACATCGAGAGGTTCCTTATAAGCAAGTTGATAAATATTGTCTGCTCCTGCCAATAATCAAAATTTCGAATATTAATAATTATCCACTTTTACCAATATTTTCTTATTTCCATTGCGCCGTTTTTCTTATAGCCATTATTCAAGCACATATCTATATGTCCTACTTGGTGTTTGTTTGTTAAATAAAATTTGAACAAAAGCAAAGGCATTATTTCCACACTTATGTTACTTTCCACTTTCTTATAAATAAAGCTATTTAGAAATTTTCCAATTTTTGATTGTTATTACAGTGGAAAAAAGTATATGTAATGAAAAAAGTAATGAAAATATTCTTATTTATTGTCAGCACAGTCAGCTCAGAATTATTTTAATAACCATTCTAGAACAATCCTAGGTTGAAAAATTCTAATTGGGAAATTGAGTTTTAGATCCATTTTCAATTTTTCAAACACTGAAAAATCAGAATTGGAATAAATTATGAATTAAAAGCAAAATTTGCAAACAGTGGGCGTTATAACTTCTGTTTGTGAAGATAAGTACCTCCAATTCTCCGCGAACTGTTGGTTGTAGCAAAAATTCATTTCATTTCCCTCATTATATTTGGTAGAGCGAGGATTTATAAATCTGT